GCTTTCCGGTCTTCCTTAAAGGGTATGGGGAAGTCTAGAACTGTTTTTCTCTACTAGCTACATAAAACTATATGTGTGAGCGTGTGTGTGTGTGTGAGGGGAGGTGTGTGTGTAGGTACATATATATGTACGTGCACATACTTTTTAATATATAGTATACAATTAAACATATATAGACTATTTATGCACATGTGGAAGCACGCGCACACACACACCCACAGCATATTCTCATATATATATATATATATGTATATGTATATCTCCTAGTTTTAAAATACATGTCAGTTTTGACCCTCCTGTGGGACTGATTGGCAGCTGATAATTATAGTGTACAAATCCTGCTTTTCTAGAATCGGTACAGGTTCATCTTGAAACAGAATCTAATTGATGGAGCTGTAGCAGATTCACAGACCCCCTCATATTCTGAAAGATAGCAGGCGATTCCTGGAAGGAAGACACAGAATATCTTCTTAAGTTTAATATTTGCCTTAACAAGCTTATTTTCCCACATGCTGGAGGGCCCCCTAGACTGAGCATGTCAAGAGGTTGGGAGCTAAGTTGTTTGGGTCTGGGGAAAGTAATCTAACCAGAGGGGAAAAGTCTTCAGCTCAGCAGTGCCAAGCCCTCATGGATGACTGTCCTGTGACTGCTGCATTGCTACTTGAATCTCAGCAACTCCTGTGGACACTCAGACAAACAGAGGTGCACAGAAACACCTTGAGGGCTGTCTCTGGTAGACGTGCGTCCAATCCACCAGTCTGGTGAACATCCTTCATTCAGTTGGGTTCCTTTGCTTTGATTTTCATGGGGATATTGTTTGATTTTCCAGTTCTTAGCGGTGCAGTAGCCAATATTGAGTTACTCCGACTGGACCCCAGTCAACACTAGGCTTGTCTCAGTAGGTGGAACTATAATAATTATTATTGTTATTTTTTGTTTTATTTTGGGGGGAAGGGAGGGAAGAATTCTAGGGGTGGGGTTTGCAATATAAAACACAATAAAAACCTTAGTAAATAAAAACATAAAAAACTCATCCCTCTGACGTGCTGTCTGTTTTGGGTGTTGAACTTCAGGCAATGTGAGACTTCACGAAGAAAAAACTTGTGTGGCATTTCAGCCCTCTCTTTCCCACGGGAGGGCGAAGATGTAGATTTTTTTTGTCTCACTTCCTGCCTGTATTTTCCTGATGTCTTCATAGCTTTTGCAGTGTGTTTACCTGCTTCCACATCCCCCCCCACACACACACACACACATATTCGTGTAGGAAAGAGAATTAGGGCATTAAGAGTGAAAGTTTTAAACCTTTGCCTGCACTTGACTCTCTAACATTACAAAAAGAGGAAATCTGATAGTTGTTTTGCAAATGTGTATCTGAAAAGTCTTCACCTTACTGGCAGATCTGGACCCTCTGACTGACTCTGTGACCCTTAGAGATAAGCTCAAGGAACCTTATGGCAGGAAACACCCATTAACTACTTGGAATAGGGGCTATCATGGAAAGCAACAAGAAAAAAAAGGGAGAAAGGAAATACCCATTTCTGGGTCTCAAACGAAGCTGGATGATGGTGCCGAGGTCAGGACCCGATGTATTTTAGGAAGATAAAACTAGCTTCAACTCTTATCTTTCATTTCACTCCTGTGAGATCCTCTTTGAGTCTTTGTCCAAACCCACCCTAGGAAGCATACACAGAATCGATTATTTGGGTCAGTAGCTCACACTGGAGCTGTATGGCCTCGTGCCCTTTCTTCATAGCCAAGGAAGTGTACAGCAAAGCAGCCCAACTGCTAGAATCCTGCCTACAGCCTGCAGCAGCAAGATGTAGCAAGCCGCTGTGTTCCCTGCTTCCTGTTCTCTAACCTGCTGAATCTAGAAGCCTTGCTAGATCTCTGCAGTGCCTCACCTCTGCCTTGCCAATGCTCTCACATTCATTTTTCCTTCTCTGGCATCTCACTTTCTTGGTACCTTCTCTTCCAATGGCTGCATTCAGCCTTCTGACTTTATATCTCACCCAGCCTCTGAAAGACTTAGTTTGGTAACACATCAACAGGATGTCTTTCCTGCTGGGGTGAGAACTAGGTCCAGGACCTTCTTTACCAGGATTCCCAATGCCAGAGATGACAAAAATTGCTGGAGCAATTTATTGAGGAAAGATCAGATTCAGAGAGCTTCGAGACAGGAAAGGAGTCCAAGGGCTAGTGTGTGAGATCAGTATTTTCCGGAGAAGGGTGTGCAGAGATGGACACACACACGCCTGTCCCACTGACACTGAACAGCAAAGACACTGACTTCCAAACAGAACCTCCTCTTCCTCCTCTGCATGTTTATGATGCCGCAGAAAAACTGGAAACCCTGTTAGTCTCCCTCCATCTGTCACAGAATCACAGAATGGCTGAGGTTGGAAGGGACCTCTGGAGATCATCTAGTCCAACCCCCCTGCTCAAGCACGGTCAGCTAGAGCACATTTCCCAGGATCGCATCCAGACGGGTTTCGAATATCTCCAGGGAAGGAGACTCCACAACCTCTCTGGGCAACCTGTTCCAGTGCTCAGTCACCCTCATAGTAAAGAAGATTTTCCTCAAAATCCGTTGTCTGACCTAGTCTGGCTCTCTATGAGCAGAGCTGGTGAGGAAAGAGTAAACCAAACACTTTCATCAGAGAATGTAGTTCCCTTGAAACCAGATGGCCCTGCCCTGGTAGGTCAGTTGCCCGGGAGCTTCACTGAGGGAAGAAATTCAGGCAGTAAGATGTTTGTTTTGCCTTTTGAAATGAAAGTCTGTTCCAGGCTTTTTTATTTTGAATGCTATTATTACAGAGGAAACAGGGGTTATGAGTCAGTTCTGTCCTGTCAAAAATTTATTTAAATTATATTTCAAGAAGATTTGGAAACTTTCAGGGGTTTTATGTTGGAGTAGAGCAAAATCCAAGTTTTGACATCTTTAACAGCCCTGCGAAACCTGCCTTCTGTTCCCCACTGACCTCTAGTGGGGAGCCAAGATGCAGCCCTACTGCCACAAGTTGCGGAAGGATGGGCAGGACTGCATCAGGAGGAGCTCACGACACGACACCCAGCCTTTGCAGAGAGCAGGACAGATCACAGCTCACACTAGCACACTAGCCTCATGGTCTCCATGACAAGCATGACACCAGAGGAGTGGGTGACGTGGCTTAGCTAATGGAGTCTAACCTTTTCCTCACCCAGAGCCAAATCCATGCTGGTACCAGCACTGATGCAAGCAGCACTATCCAGCCGATATGTCCAGGAACAGGTCCCCTTGGACCTAAGTGGAACAAGGACTAACCTGAGGGCCAGCATTTCAACACAGCTAGTAGCCATGTCTGTGCTCCAGGTCAGTGTGGATCAGGATGGCACAGACAGCTTTTCCATGACCAGAGAAAAGCCCTGGCTCCAGTCTCCAGAGGACCCAAGGAAGCCCCGCCAACTGTAAGACTGCACACACAGAAGGGCTTGACTGGCTTACCACCTGTGTTGATGCCGCCTTACCCTACCAAAAGGACTCGAGACCACAGTGGGCTTTCATGATATTCGCACTCCGGCTGTCAGAAACAAACTAAGTGTTTAGATTTCGGAGCCAAGTCACCCTCCTATCAACACGGTGGTTTCTCCACCTCCTGTTCACTACTACCTCCCCTGCAGTGCCTTGTGAAGAGCCAGCCCACTGGGGTGGGGAGTTGCAGCACAAGAAGGCAAGATCGCCAGCTCTTGTGATCCCCCCTCCCCATAGCAGTTTGGCCAGGGACGTTCATGGGAATTTCAGCCTTGTCCCTGGAAACTGTCCCTTGCTGGATGCCTGCCCCATCTCCCATCTCTCCTAGAAAAGAGCAATTGCTGCTTACAGGACAGAAGCATGGACTCCCAAACCAATATTTCTTAGAGCCAATGAGAGATTTTGAGGTGGTGAGGAGAACCTATTTTCTGTCTGTGTCCTCCCCCCAGCAATCCTTTTCTGCAATCCTTTTCCTAGATTGCAGTAGGGCTGCAATCTTGGACTGAGACTGCCTGATCTCCTGTGCTAGTCAGCCTTGGACAGGGAGGAAAGCGATGATGAAGCTGCAGCGAGAAGCAGGCTGAGGCTCAGCACTCTGAAATGCGATTTTTCTTCCTCTTTGCAAATTCACTGAGCTATTTGGATCAGCAAGATGGTAAGGTTTATTGAGCACAAAATGGTCTTGCACTATGTGGACACCAGCCTGGCAAGACCCTCACACAAGCATCGTCCTCCAGCCACAGTCACTGCAGGAGGACCCCTGAGACAGCCCTGAGCTATGTCTCCAAATGTCCTGGCACTGGGGAGGGGTTGTGTATGCCCTGGCAGGCAGGCAGTTGAGTCCTTCCTTTTTTTTAATCTCCTCTGCAAATCCAGGGATCTGGCAGCACTGGGCACAGGATTGGTGAGCTCAGAGGAGGCAACAGGGAGTCTTCAAAGTACTTCAGTGAATGCCCAGGAGAAGAAAAAGGGATTTGCCTGGTTGTCCTCTGTGCTTGGGGGAGACATTAGCAAGTTAGGAGCCTCTGCTTTAAAGAAACGAATACATCATCATGTATATTTTATTTAAAAATAAAGAAAACTAAACACAGATGACAGCTTTTGCTCATTCACTCCACTCAGCCTCAGGGGCCAAGCTTGTACCTGCCAGCCCACAGGATTGGTGGGGCGTGAGCTGCAAACTGCGTGATGTGGACTCTGCATCCCTGTTATTTTGTGGGAGAGTCAAACTTGGCAGGGAGAGAAGAATTGCAGGAAAAGGCCTGGTTGACATGACATGTGAGGGTGCAGCAGGAGGCGGGATGGGAGGCTGAGGAAGATGGGCCTGAAGATCACTTTGGGAAGTGAAGGGAAGCTGTCTGCAAGGCACTGCCTCCATTCGCCTGCGGGACATGGCA